GACTAAAATGAGCCATTGAACATCATTGAACAGTATTCTAATCCAATCACTGGTGACGGAGGTAAAGCTGCTGTAGTTCCTAAAAGTAAAATTATTACCGTTCGATTTTCGCTAGCTTTAGCTTGTTTCCATTGCGGCGGTGATATGACCTACAAGCTGCCGTAGAGGTGAAGGCTAGACTGTCCGTATTCAGAGTTGCTGGCTTCCGGTCTCAGCGGTCAAGAAAGGACCGGACATAGCTGGACCAGTAAGGACCCATCCTCACAAGCCTCCTGCCCCTGAACTCAGACACACCCTTTGTCCCTCTTCAGCCTTTTGAAAGGAGCAAAAAAGACAACCCCTCAGCTGGCTCAGAAGAAAACCTGTTTCAATGTAACCTTACCAACATGATAGAGAAATTTGACTGTTTTGTGATTAGCTCACTGAAAAATCCCTACTTATTGTACCTTTAACGAAAACAGAGATTTGCAAAACTCTGGATTGAATGCGCCTAATTCTGTGAACAAATGTCACAATTTTGTATGACTAGACAAACATTAATATTTACAGTTATATATCTAGTATAGTTGACCTATTTCAATACAACAATACTTTAAACTTATGTTGGTGGGTGATGTCCCAAAACAGCATGACTTGAAATGTGACTAAAAATACATGATTGATTAATTATAAAGCTTATTAAACTAATCCGTGACACCACTGTATCAATCCTACTCATGCAAAATGTTTACACTCCTACAATAGAAGCTCTATTTTGCTACTAGAATAATCACATTCACAAGAAAACGTTTGCTGAATACTGGATGACTATCATACTTACTTCCAAAGAGCATTTAGAGTTAGTTCCTTTGTTCCCTAGCTCCCCTCTTTTTCTCTTTTGCCTTAACTCCTTCTGAGGTGGAGCAGTCGGTTGGTGTATGCAGTGATTGTGTACTCACTGCCTGAAGTTAATGCACCTTCAATCATGGCTAGCCACACCTGTAGCTCATTTACACATGATTCACCTGCTACTTAAACTGGATTTTTTTTTTTTTTAGCTACAGTCATATGCCAAAATTTGGTAGTTTGAACGGTGATACTTGGTTTCTCACATGTGCATTTAGTAGTACTGATGACTTTTTACCTGAGTTACCTTGAAAAATATTTAGCAGTAATTCTTTCCCGGTAGTACTTCCTGTGAATAGGTCTGTACTTTTTGAAGTTTGGACCCCCAGAGGAAAAACCTGCCTCATTCTGTAAAATAGTGACAGAAAGCATGGCTCTTTTTGGCTTATACAACCAACTCTTCTGGCTCCTAAATGGCTCCCTATTACACCTACTGGATCCAGCTGAGAGCTATTTGTTCCTCTCCAACAAATAAAGTTCTTGACATTGGTCAAACCTGTTGATGTCATGTTCCAGACTACATCCTCCCTTTTGCAACCTAATGGTATAGTCATTCAATTAAATCACACTAAATATACCCAAAAAGAAAAACAGAACAAACTGACTAGATGGGAGCTATCACTCATTGCTTGGTTGTATGAGTCACAACATATTAAAGGTGTGGTTGACTGAAAAAACATTTCTTTATTTTTTTTTCTTTCTGATCATAACATTGGCATGTATTTGCTCTTGACACTGGTGGGGACATATACATCTAGCATGGATAATAGCTTCTTGTGTCCTCAACTTTCTTCTTTTTGGCCTCTATCCTCATGCGAACTACCTTTGTGAGACTCTTATTTTGATTAATACAGTCAGACAGGATGTGGTGTACAGTGCTTTTATTGTGACGACCAGAAGTGTGTGGGTTGGTTGTTCGGGAACTTGACTACTGCAATGTTAAGTGACGGTGGTGTAGGTAAAAGAGCCTCTTGAGTTTGTGGAGTATTGCATACAACTGGAATGTTTTCCTTCCAGCTTTGGCACTGCTAACAACCGCCTTACTTTGTCTAGGGTAACAAGACATTTAATGGCTTGATGTTTTTTAGGGGAAGCGGTCAAATTATTGGTGGGGACTATTTTGTCATCGGTGGATATTGGTGGGGACACATCACCTCTGTTCATACCAATTCTATGCCCTTGGATTATAATCAGTCACTGAGTTTTTAATGCAGGCTGAACATGAAAATAGTCTTCAAAACATATCTCCTCCATTAGCTTCTGATAGAAAATAGTGAAAACACTGTGAATTAGCATTCATGGACTCACCAATTTTGACTCACAATGGGAAAGGCTATTGTTGTTTTAACATCCGCAAATCAGCAGCGGAGGTTGCAGCTAGAAGAAGCTACATGTTAGCACTCGCAGCTTCACCACCCAGCAGAATCTCCTCCAGTGTTATCAGTGGAGATATCCACATTGCAAGTTAGTGGTAGTCACATTGCTATTATCCATGCTGGGGTGAGATGTCCAAGAATCAGGAAATAAGACTCCAAAACCTGCCGTTTGAAGCTCAGCTGTGATGTGGGCAACTTTTAGGTCAGAGAAATGCTCCGGTATATTTTTTCTCCCCCAAGAACACTGCAACTGTATTGATTAAACAAGTCAAGCACTCCTTTAAAGTAATTTGCAAATTGCACTTTGTTGCTATTAACGCTCTGCTAAATAATGCATTTTACTCTATTGAATACTCACGTGCTATGCCTGTCCACTCACCCATCTCCCCTCTGACTCGTAGTGCCAGGATCCTTGTCCTCCTCTCAGTAACAATCAGTAAGACCAATAAATAATCAAGATATTTGACCTTAGACAAATTTCTAAATTAAAGCCCAACCTGAGTGTCCATCTTCTAATGTCAGTGATTCACGCCTTCATCACATCCCGGCTAGATTTCTCCATCCAACTCCTATGCGGTGTCAGTAAAGCTGCTCTATCCAGACTTCAGCTCATTAAAATTGTTTTATAAATAGAAGTAGTATGGTATGTTTTGGAATTTTATAGTACTTTTAAACAACTCATCAAAGCATAAAACAAAATACCCATAAAACTGTTTTCCGACCTAGTGTCCCCCCCCCCCCCCCCCCCCTTTAAGCCTATTCTTGTTTAGATTTTTTAAACTTCATTACTTTTTGTCACAAGCTGTTTGCTTTGAGAGAAGTTATTAAAAAAGCAAGTAACTCTGAAGAGCATCAACACTCTTTAACCAAAGTTTCAGATTTCCCTTTCAAACTGTTTGACCAGGAAAGATTCAAATGTAAATGATTCATGTATGATCCAGATTTTAGGCTTCGTTTCATGGTGAATCATGTATTGGACTCACTTTGGGTGTCAAACACTGCGTCACAGATAGAAATGCTGATAAAAATAACAACCAGCTGGGTCTGTAATGAACCAGTCACACTTGCGTCACAATTGTTCTGTTACATTTTGGCTTCATCAATTTCAGTCATCAAGGTTGATCCTCTGTGTTTTGTTGCTTTTAATGAGGATCACGGTTTGGTTATCTTACTTCAGCTGTCCTTAATGATGCATTTAGTGACAAATAAAAAAAACTGGGGATTTCAGTCCTCTAGTTTGGAATACAGATAAGGCAATAGTTGTATTTTTTTTACCTATTTGCCCCCTAAAAAAGTATAAAATGTTGATGGAATACTTTTTTTAAAATCTGGTGGCCCAAACAAAATGATAGGATTATTTTTCTCAACAGTGCCTATATGGTTTTTAGGCTTCATAGGTAGTGGTTTGCGAGTAGGGGTCTGTGACTCTCCAATGGGGTCCCCACACAATTCCAGGCGGTCCCCAAAATTTAGTCTGTGCTGAGGTTGTGAGGTTACCAAGATCAATTGTGAAAAAGAGTTATAAGTATGTATGTCTATATAAAGTTTGTTATTAAACATTTTTAATGTGTGTATGCATGTAGGAGTTGGGGTTCCTGGCTAGTCTTGGACACAGGCAAGGTCTTCTTGAAATAAGGTTGGGAGCTACTGCTCTAAGGTACGAGAAAGTGCAGGGGAAAAATCTAAATTGATCACCTTTAATAATGTTTTTGTTAAACAAGCAAAAGAAGACAAAATATTTTCTAAGCCGCTTTTAGCATAATTCCCCCCAAACCCAACCACCCACAAGTAAGCTCACCCTTGTGTGCAGTCGGATTCTCTGCAGCATGGTTGTGTAGCCCCATCTTTCCTTGACCTCATAATAGGTTCAAACAAGGCCAAGTTTAGAAAAAGCCCTAGTAGATCATTGTTTCTGTCTGTATGACAGCACCTGTCCAGAAGTTCAAATAACTCCTGAGGTGTTTGTGAGAAAGGTTTCTGTGCCATGCTGGCCCCACTCCACATTAACAGATGTGTCACAGTGCCCCCCAGAGCTCTTCCATTGTGTGACTCCTTCATATTTTATTCCTAATGTGTATGTTGGTGAACTTATCTGACAGGTACTACATACTATCAATGCATAATGAAACGGCTGCAGGGGAGTATGATATACATAACAATTGGCATGAGCAGCTCAAGGGTCTCAAAGTGTCAGATTACAGTCTGACTTTGACATTGCTGAATATGTGCATGTGTTTGGTCTTGAATAAGAATATTGCTCCAGAAAAAAGTAAAAAGAATTCAAACTTGTGATGTTCACAGTGTCTTTTATGAGCTACAAGTTAATGTCTGGTTTCTTTTAAGGGGGAAAATTTACCAGAATTTCTCATTAGGTGAGGAATCTTGGCAGCACTAAATATTTATGTTCTTGATGGTTTTGTTTTGCATTTTAGTTCATTGCTCCCCTTTCAAATGAACTTCTAAAATGCCTGAAGCACATTTGATAAGCTCTGTTTTGAGCAAGTACAGTTGTGGAAGCAACTGACAGCTCTGGCTTTCATGAGAAATGGGTATGCACGCAACAGCGTGCGTGCTGTGCAAGCATCTACAGGCACTGTGCAAGTTTTGCACCAAACGTGCTCGCCTGCTGATGGGACGGGTGGTGTAGGAGAGAAGATGTCCATGACCGCAGCAGGAGTTCTTTTATGCAACATTGAGTTATTTTCAGTAAGAGATGTTTGACAAAATGACCACAGGCACTTGGGTGTAAGCTGTTTATTCCACCACTCAAAGTTGTATCTCATTTCTAAATGATTTAACTTGAAATATGGCTTAAAAATAAAACTGGCAGAAATAGCTACACACAAAATCTGTAAGTCGCAAAATCTTTCATTCAGTGAGGCGGAAGAAGTTAAAAATATTTCAGATTAGGTGAGAAATCTATGTTCCTTTTATTCATGACATACAGCAAAACCTTGATTCCAGAGCAGTCAGGCTTGAACAATAAAGCATTTGAACCTGAGGACATCGGTTTGACAGCGAGTCTCTAGTGAGTTGTCCCACAGTGCTTTACAGTGTACCTCCAGGTACTTCCAGATTGCAGCCATTCGATCTTCAGTCCTGCATTTGCCCTTACCATCAAATTTCATCAATTTTGAACCAGCCTGCCGTGAAAGGCAAATGATTACAATCTGCCCTCCTGATTGAACTCAACTAACCCTTTTGTAACAAATGTCTGTACAATGAGCGCCAGCAAATGTCAGACTATTCCCTTTTCTTCCACTGGAAGGTCCGAGGGGTCCAATCCACACCGCTTCATCTGGACGGCAATGTCGAACAGGTAATCATAGCATTCACACCTACAAAAAGCAACATAAAACACTGAAATTAGTTTCTCTGTCACATTTACCCTTCATGCAATTACACAAATGTATTCAGCATCATAAATAAAAAAAAGAAAAGGTTAATAGCACTGGGATGAAAATGCTCACATAGTTTTTGCTTTTTCCCAAGACTCGCCCCAAACATAGACACCGTGTCGGCGGACAAGCACGGCACATGAATCCGGGTATTGTTCCATGGCCCGAGCCATCCTGTCTTTCAGGTCCTTCTCCTCTGGCGTGTTCTCAATAATAGGCACCACCAACATGTCATCATATCTACACAGGCAGGGCATGAAAAGAAATGGACACCAATACTGGGAACTTAAGCATTACCATTTAGGAATCACAGCACGGTTTGTTGCATGTATTAACTTTCCTGTTGGGTGTATGATGCCTCTGATAGGCTGGGATAAGAATTAAATACAACAGAGTCAAATGAGCTTGTGACTCTTGCCTAGTATCTAAATCAAAAAGGAAAAGGAAAAACAACTGTTGAATCCAACACAAACAGAGCCTTCCCATAATTGGATCAGATAAAATCTAATCTGGAAAACTCCTAACGAGACTTTTTTTTACACACACAGACATAACAAAATGAATTTGACACTGTTTTTATTTTCCGTTATTGGGAAATCATGAGCTGGATCATTCAAAAGAAGTGCAGGGAAATGTGTTTAACCATAAACCTTATTGAGGAAAACAGGGTGAAACTGAGCCCAATGAAAGCTTTGTGGCCGAGAGACATGATGAAATATTAGTCTAAGATAACATTGAGCAAGAACACCACCTTGATTAAATGTGTTTGAGGACAACTTTTCATTCATTTTACCAATCAGTAGAACTGGAATTCCATTTGTTACTCTTAAGTGAAACACATCATAATGTTAAACATTTTCATTTTTGAATCGTAATCATAAACTTCCTTAACAGCAACTTTAAAAGCCATGTTTTACTCAAAAGGTAAATCCTTTTAACTGTGTGATCACCTACCGATAGTTTATGCCTGAGGTGCCCTTACGAATCCCCTTTATCATCTCCTGGTGCGTTATCCTGAACTCTTTTCCAGGATACAGCAGCGTTGCCATGACAGCAGCCTTCGAGTGGGTGTGTATAACTGCCTGTGCCCCTGTAGTTTAGAAAAAGAGAAAGACAAATTTATCTTTTTGGAGTGTTTTCACTTGGTCTCTTCTCTCTCAAATATTAAGTGTAATTACGAATAAGGCAAATTGCTAAGCCACACCAAGCCTTATTACTGTAAACTACATGGAAATGACTGAACTGCATTAGGACTGAGTTTTAGTTTTGGAAGCTGCCTGTTCTGACCTGGCATGGGAGGACAGATGGGATGAGTAATTGATAAAAATATCATCAGTCTGATGTGAGGCATTTCATTACATATTGATAATCTAACAACAGCATGCTCAATGTTATCTTGTCTGCTCCATGTTTTTATTTGTTTTTACCTACAGAAAAGTTCAGCCAATCACAACCTTCAAAACAGACCAAATACATTTTTTGTCATTCTCTTAACTTTTCTTGGACTACAATAAGTACACAGTAGGGATGTAAGTAAATATTGATATGGCAAAATATCGTGATGTTTTTTTACAGCAATATTATAACAGTATTCAAAAGCCGTGTATCGAAAATATCGATATGGTAATATATCGTGATTTATTTTCATGCAATATTATATCAATATTCAGAAGCCGTGCATCTAATTTTTGGAAGAATTTACATGCAAACATTTGTGTATTTTCTTCTCTTCTGGTGTAATTCAAACGCAGACTTCTAGTTGGCAACAGTGTGCAATCGGTTTTGCGTCCACCATTGAAATGTAAATCCCTCTATAATGGTTCAGATTCATCATTTTAAATATGCTAGGTATCAGTTTGGATTGTTTATTAAAATTTTCAATAAAACTTTTTCAATAAACTAAACATTTTTCAATAAAAATTGTTTTTTAAAGAAAAAAATTGCTAATATCGTCTGAATGTATCGTAATATAGTGTGATATATTGTATCGTGATACGTATTAT